GAACAAGAGAGAGAGAGAGAGAGAGATGGGAAAGAACGCGAGCGAGAGAGAGAGATAGAGGCTTAATTTATGCACAATCTCATTTCCCAATCTCAACCAGCGTTTAAACTGACACGTGTGTACGACATGGTGACTCGTGTCAATGCCGGGGCGAGTGAGTACAATCTAGGATGAAACCACATCTAACGAGACAGCTGCGTAACTGCTGATGCAAATGAACAAGCAACGATGAGCTCAATCAGTTAATTACTTCGGGCCGGCCGCGCGGACGACGTCCCCTGCGGGCCATTGTGTAAAAACATCGACTTTGATCAAATCACGTAGATCAATAATGCATTACGATGGCAGGTGATAATGCATTGATTGGTGCAGCACCGCGTACCGGAGGTTTTACGGGGCCGAGCCAACGTAAACCAGTGGGTGAAAATTTAATAACGAGCTTTCGGCGATTAATTATTTACGCCTTATCATAAGGCACAATGTACATGTGCTCGAAACTTAATCTCGAAATGTATACGTACGTCAGTGTGGACGTACAGTCCACACTTTGAGGCTAGTTCCGCACGGCAATATAAAAGGTTATATATGCAGGGTTAGAAATTAATTTTTGAACAAGAGGATCCAACGGACTCCCTGTCCTCAAAAAGAAGGAGCCCGTAGCAAAATGAGGGAGTCCGTACTTCGTAGTCTGAAGTTCAAAACTAAAGCACAACAACAAAAACGCATGTGCGTATTTGAAGATTCATGCGATGCACGTCTGTCAAATTTTCTTTGGACATTTGGTTGAAAAAATACGGTAATTCCGTGAGATAGTGCTCTGGAACGAACTTGTTAGTAAAAAAAAAAAATTGTTAGTAAATAAATGCACATACTAGAATTTTCAAGGAGTCCGACAGTAAATCAGGGAGTATTTGACTCCGGAATCCCGTTAATTTCGCACCCTGGCCTGTACATATATGTCATTGCAAAAAAACCGGCTGAGAACAGTGTAGATCTAATAAGTCTCATATACCACTACAAAGCGACAAAAATTTTCGGTCACATTCAGGTTAAAGTGAATATATTGTATCTTGTTTTCAGAATCACACAGAACATGCACACCGAATTGTAAAATTTGAAGAAACAACATTTCTAATTGGTATTGTTTGTCATGTGAACATATAAATGCACATGTATGATGTCCCTACCTGAATAAGGTACGCACGTACAGCAATATTCGCTTACACTATGGCTTATATGGCACAATGCCTCAAGTTTACAATTATTAATCCATAAATTAATCAGTGCAGCTACAACACTGATTGACTCCAACGTTACGGATATACCAGACATACCACAGCTACATGGTAGCTTATTATACTCACTGGGAGCAATAATGGCTTTCTCATGCCACACAACTACTCGTATGTCGGCATTGATTTCAAAATGTACCATCATTAGTAGACGCATTAGAGTTCAATGACGTGCTGTTGTTTGCAAATAACTCGCCATATTAAAGTTATGGTGAACATTATATTATCAGGTTGTATAATATGAATGAATCCAGGGCCTAATCCAAGCCATTTTTCATACCAAATAGCGGCACCCAAATTATGACCCCTAGCAAAATGCCCAAATTACAAAATTCATAAAACGCCCAAATTAGCAGAGCTCTGATGCAGATCTCCATGTTTCTATCGTTACGTAGGCACTGTTTTATACTAAAATGCTCATATAAGATCTATAATCTATTAGGCGCGTTCACACTGGCGGGAATTAGCGGGATGCAGATCTCGTTTTTTGCATCGCGATCGAAATACCGAGATTTTTACAAGTGTGAACGCAAAAATCTCACTAAGTATCGTGATCAGCATCACGCTGCAAATCGCACTTTTGACTGCGATTATTTGAAATTAGCGCGATTAATTGCACCGCGGCGTGTGTGAACGCTCGCGCAAATAATCCCGGTATTTTCTATCCCATCATTCTAAGCGATCGTATCAACATCCGGCAGTGAGCATGCGCAGTTCGATTAATAGAATTATCCCGCTCGGCGATTAGCGAGATATTTCCGCCTGTGTGAACAACGACACAATTATCTCGGTATTTCCATCCGTGGTTTTTCTTGTGTGTGAACACGCCTATTATCTGAATAAAATGTGTCACCCAAACGCCCAATTTAATGTGATAGATAAGTATATATATATATATATAATTTGTTTACGCTCACTACGCTCGCCATGGGTGCCTGTTAGCAGCTAGCTTTTAAGCAGCTGCACTGCTTTTAGCTTTTAAGCAGCTGCACTGCTTTTAGCTTTTAAGCAGCTTTTAAGCAGCTGCCATTAAGCACAGAGCTAGATTAGGCCCTGGAATCTGATAAAGTTACCTGTGACAGAGTGTGCAGTTCACACTAGTGCAAAGCTAGCAGACATACCATAAACCTATGGATATCAACATCTAGGTTCATTGATACAGGCACAGACGACCACTGCGCATGATGACCTGCTAATAATCATATTCAATAAAAAGATAATCAAATAATCTAGCTGTTCAGCTTCAGATGTTTTACAATTGGAAACTTTCCATTGATAATCACTATTTACTTATTATATCAAGAGCAAATAATACCTATTATTAGCTCTTGATTATATGAAATGCTAGATAATACCAAGAGCAGATAAAGAAGATCCTTCTTTATCTGCTCTTGATAATACTATAGACGTTTTATTTTATATGAATACAAATGGAGTATGTTGTGATTCAATGATTTTAGGTGCAAGGTCATCTAACCTAAATGTGAAATTCACACGCAGATGTGATATCACTTGTAAGTGATACTTACCTAAATCTTTATTAGCCTGATGCTGCACATGAGAAAGCAAAAATAATATATAAAACTCTCCTGCCATAGCATTTAGTAGGACTGTCATCGATATCAACGCCATCGATATATCGCACTGGATTTGCGTGCGATATCGATATCGAAAAAAATTTCAGAATAGTGATCCGGTACAGTAAAATAGTATTAGTAAAAAACCGTAGTGTTGTAACCTTACCCCTCATAAGTTATTCTGCTAAAATATGAGATGGTATTCTCTACTGCATGTGGTGTTTTTAACAAGAGGGAGAGTTTGGTGTTATATTATATTAGTTATATTATACGAATCGGATCACATCGGATCGAAATATCGGAAAAAAATGTTTTAATAACCGAATCGAAATATTTTGATATCAATGACAGCCCTAGCATTTAGTATATTATAGGTCTGAATATGACACAGTCATTCATGCACTGATTCCATGATGAGCATAGGAAAGTTGATGTAACCATGAGAACTCAGAAGTAATAAAATTATACATATTAAAATTGTTGTGTATAATTGAATTTGAGGTGGAACTAGTAGCGAATTAATCACCATAGCAGGATTAAAGATAATGCATACATGTGAAGATTCAGAAACAACATCCACAAAACTCCTAAAAACCGACAACATTTCTTACTGTTCATGAAAAGAATGCTAAATGCAAATCCAGTTGAGCATGGACTGAACACAAAAATTACTAATATACACACTTATTCAGCCATATATATATATACTAACCCTAAAAGTACTGTCTAACATCATATTTACTTACCCACATTGTGATGTTTTTGTGATTTCAATAAGGTAATAATAATCATATAGCATAATAGAATGCAGTAATTTGGCTAGCTGCCCATTTTATTAACTACACCATGTATGTTTTTCATAAGAGAACTGACAGTAGTGAAAGTTTATACGTGCACATTCGTTAGTTTTGCATTGTACACACAAGTGTTTTGGTAAACAGGTTTAAACTCTTTACAGTTACGGCAAACGAATACCACTCAATGTTTCTTAGGGCTGATACAACTCAATTACAGTAGTACTCTCTACCAGTTTCCCCACATTTAGTTTAGTTTAGTTAATTTTTAGTTGCCTCAGAGGCACATGCACATTGAACCATTACAAAAACAATTTGTCTGATATCGCTAAAGGCATACCTACATGCTCAACTGCAAAAAATACACTGTTCTTTACATTTGAACAAACATAGGTCACTAGGTGCTACTAGTACTACTACTAGTACTATGCTTTCCACATGTTACTATATCTGTCTTAGAGTAATGTGTAATGATTACATGATTCATTTATATTATAATGATTCATTTATGAATAATTGGACTTGTACTTTAGCCTTTACTAGGGCCAGGGGTTCAGTTTAGTTTGTGACAACCACGCTTGTGTCTATGTACTGTAGCGACATGAGAAGGGGTGAATGTCTTGAATGACTGGAACAGTAACCAGACCAAGGTACATGCTCAAATGTTTGGATGACTTTTTAAGTAAACTGACTAAATAGGCAGTGCGTGTAACCGTCTCGTATTTACTTTAGTGCAATGATATTTATGCTTTCCCGTGTACAAATGTCAAATATTGTGTTCGTACATAAATGCTTAATTATCTTTTTTTTTGATTTTTTTTTGTTGATTTATTTATTTCGATAATTACTAAAGCATACATTACATTGATAACAGCATAAATAGCCACAGTTTCACCTGCAGTTTCACAACAGCTTCGTGTTCATTGTGACAAAGTTACTGAACCACTCTGCACTGCCACTGGCTATGTTACATAGGTAGGCCTAACCATAGATATAGAAGAGAAGATCTTCTCTTCTATATATCTATGGCCTAACGTACACCTATTTCGACGTCTAGTTTCTTCTGAAAACGACCGTTAGTTTACTTTACCTTTCCTCAAGCTCCAGGTCCACTGGTAGGGTTGGATCTTCTTCACTTGTAGAATCCATGTTTTCCCCACGGTCTCCTACACCATAACGCTGTATTTACTGCGTGAAATAGTTCTCGTTTGGTCGAAAGGGTATAAGAAAACCGTTTATTATTCTAAATGTTCCGCCATTTTATGTCTTCTGTGCGCATGCGTGAACTTGTAGGAAATTACTCACCGGATGTGACGTTCCCACTCTCGAAAATGGAAACATGGCGGAATGTGTTGATAAGGAAAGTTGTTTCACAACTGAAAACACCGTTTCCACGACACCCGATGATTCTGCAGATGGAATTGTTGATGATTTCGACCCATTTACTAGCTGTGTAGAACTGGTTGATGAAAGCATTAATGTGTCTTTAGAAGCACCCCCAGAGAGCCAGTAAGCATGATTGATTGGTGGTGTCCATGGCACCATTCCTCGAGAGTTTACTTATGCTCATATTCATAGACATCATAGCCAGGGTCTATGTCCACCAGGTTACTGTCGGAACGCACCCTGGTCACTATTTGATATGGTTAGGGTTAGGATTAGGGTTAGGATTAGAGTTAGGGTTAAGGTTAGGGAGTATGAGTAGGCGTAGGCGACTCCGACCCTAGACTCGTTAGTGGAGTAGGCGAGGTACGGTCCGGCATATTAGAATTAGATAGTACCAGGGTACGTTCCGGTATACCGGACCGTACCCAGGGTACGTTCCGGCAGTACCCCGGGGAACATAGACCCTCTCAGCTTTACTTATTTAGTTTACAAGTTACCGATTACTTTGGCCCAGGTTTACATAGTGAATAAAGCGCACCTATCAGTAAATATTTCGTAAGTTAGTGTTCTGGTAAAAACTGTTCATGTAGTTCTTCTGTGCAAACTGTAAAACAACTCGAAGTTCAATGTCACGACACGTGAATGTGCCAAAATAGGGTTTTAAACTTTATTAAAGGAATATTAATATAATACTTAATACTAATAGGCCCATTGATTATGCAATGTTGACGAATGCTACAGTAACTGGCACCTGCTGTAGTTAATAAGTACATAAGTCATAACCTTACATCTAAACGCGTATTAGCTTGTCCAATATCACTGCTGGTTACATTACAAACAAGACTTGAAATCGGTTGTTGATATTTATCAACGTATCGTTTACGTGCCATAAGTGTCATCCAGGAGTCAAGCGATGACGTAAAACATTTGATCGGCCTGTATGTTTTAGACGCCATATGAAATGGAGGTGCCAGCGGTGTTTCGTACGTGGATTCCACGTTCATTACAATTATCTCTAGTGTGCCAGCTGAGCTTTCAAGCAGCTAAACGGTAACAGTTGGAGATGATCTACCAGTTCGCAGAGATACTGCCTGAACGAATGCACACTCAGACCACAAGGATCGAAATCACTGATGATAGCATTGCGTACTACGTCCGAGCATGCGTGCGAAAATGTTGGGTGCACTATAATCTGTATCACAGCCATCCATGTCAAGTCTCACGCATTGAGCGTGAGACTCACGCATTTTGGTCAATTCTCACGCTCTCACGCTCATCTCTGAACTTCTCACGCAAAAATCAAAATCAATAAATAAATAATTAAAACCCCCTATTTTTAGTCCCAGATACCAGTAATAGTATACTAGTATCGGAAGGCTAAGGCCCGATGAACAGCGCCGCTCCGCGGCCGCCCAGCTAGCTAGCTCGCTCCGTCCGTATACGTATAATACGTATGCTCTATGAGCGGCGCACATTTTATTTGCCTGCTTGGAATCCTATATCCCGCCTGGATGATGGCTTTGCAGGTTACTGAGGTATTTTGTTTACTTTTCAATTCTCAGCTTGCACTTTTACTAGACTAGTTTCTAGTACTAGTTCTAAAGTTTATCTAGGTTTAGATCTAACATAGATCTACAGTAGACATGAAAATGATATGAAAAATATGAATATATGAAAATATGAAAAGTTATAAAGGCAATAAATCATACCATAGGTATGCACTAAATTGCACCATTTCAAACCTCAAATTTCGAAAAGCCCCATATCGTGGGAGGGGGCACCCCCTCACCATCCCCCCCCCTGGTCACTTTGCTCCCTCAGCCGGTGTCGCTCCGCTCAACGCTGAGTCTCACTCTCAACCATTTCTCCAACTTGACATCTCTGCAGACCCGCTTCGGCTATAATAAAATATTTCGCTTTATATATATGCTGCATGTGGATTTCATTTTTGGTACCTGTAGGTCGGAAGAGTATAATGCCCCAGCCTGTCAAAGCATACTGTAATATGTGAGGAACCATGGTTTTAAATACCAGAGACTGAGTTTTTAGCTCATCTGACATAGTCAGATGCAGCTTGTAGAATCGCTAATGAGCGTCCGCTCCGTTGCGTCCGTGGCCCGGGAGCCGGGGCCGGCGAGATTGAGGAGTGGTCCGGTTGCCCGAGTCTGCGTCCGTCTGTCACAGCTGGGCACAACATCCTTACCCCCATCGTGTCGACGTACGATCACGATATTCGGGACGTGGGGGTAATATCCGAAAAACGCGTTGGGATGTCGAACGCGGGGGTCAAAGGTCAAAGAGATGGTAGCGAAATGAACAGGCGGGTGACTCTTGTCCAACACCCTTAAACTATAAGGTGGATAAGGGAAGGGACAGCCGGAATTGCGGGCCACAGCAAATCGAGAAACTGTGCTCGACCGTGGGCTGTGTGATAGCCCGGTGTAATCTAGCATATGGTAGCAAAAAGAGCCATCCAGCTGGTGCCGAAACTTGGAGGGTCACCAGGATCAAAGGTCAATCGGGCACACGGGCAGATTTTAAGCATTTTCATGAGGAAATGGTCTGGACGGAGCAGGTATGTGAAAAAACTTTTTGCGTTTCAGCCGGAGACCTAGGTTTGATTTTTTTAGAGGGTTTTAATTTGAAAAGGACGGATGAAATGATGGACTTTCCCCCAGCTTGATGTCGAAAGGAGTAACGTGTCTGAATAACCGTTTTGACCCGCCGTCAAAGAGGAAGGGCTCTCAAATGGCATTTGTTAAACTGATTGTACTTCGTGGTTTAGGAGCATTTATGCTGGGTTTGCGTAGTAGCAGTCTATACATGCGCTGAATTGTATGAGGGCTACATATGTCACGATGAACTGTGTCAAAAAGGCTAAATCTTGCTTGAAAGTAAGGTTTACTGCTGTCGCTTAAATCGTGATAACTTTCTAGGATGGCATTCCTGTAATCTGCTCAGTGGTGTTAATCATGCCACTGCCAGTGGCATGTGTGGTAGAATAGTATGGTGTAGTTATTTGCACAGTGCGTAATTAGAGTACAAGGTGGCAAGCTCTCTATTTGCAAAAGGCCTGTAGGGAAGGGTTAAACATCTGAGATGGTGGTGTGTCTCAACATGCGTTGGCGCGAGGTACATGTGGTGTGTGGAACGGCTCGGCCACTTGGTACACGTGAATATGTGGCCACACAGTATCTTACATATGATACAAGTGCTTACTTTAGGAGATAATGAGATGAGTTATAGTCATAGCCGCATTACTGTAAGTGCTAATATATTGAAATAGTTGGAGATAGTCCACTAGGCAGTGGACTCCAAGTAATTACCGGCCGTGGCGAGGATGTGGAGGCGTGATTGACTCTTCCAGAACTTACAATTTGTCGCGTCCAAATAGATCAAATTTGTGTCCGGACCAATGATTAGGAAAGCCGGGGAGGGGCAAGAGCTGCGTGTAAACGCGTCCTGTAGCGCGGTGGAGTGAGCTGTGATTGGATTGGCGTGCCGCGCAGGGGCGGAAGGCGAGGCGGTGGGGGCGGCGGGATGGAGTGTTGTGGGGAGGGGACGTTGGGCGAGTGGCGGCAGGGTGGGAAGGAAGATCGGAGTGGGGAGGGCGAATTGCGCGGAGGCGGCGTAAGTGCACGGTTGTGGCCTACCGGGTTATTGCTGTTGTTTTTGTGTTTAATAGGGTTAGGGGGGGTCACAATCGCACCATAAAACGAGTTGCGTTCTGCCGGATCGCGAATTTGTATCAACCACATGGGATTTGGGGAGTTAGTGGCAAGATGAGAAGGTTGCTGAAAAATGACTGTGTACGGACTGCGTATCTGCATCCATACTGGCGCGCTAACAAAGGTGGGTCACTTGACCGGCAACAACTTAAATGTTACGTTTATAACCGTAGCAACAGACCTCAGATGAGCCCAGACGCTCTGCGGCTCTTGTTGGAATAAACTAGAGTAAGGCCATGGCATAACCATGCCCAGACAATAAGAAAGATTCTTACAAATGTAATGAGTGTGTACCTTTCACTGAAAGTCACTACTTATACTCATAGTTACACCCAAATATGTGTAAGTAGAACTAAGATTCAGAATTATATATTGATAGTAAAGCGGTTATCTAAAAGGCAAGGGTGAGTAGGAAGAGGGCAATGCAGTGAATTGTACAGTAATCATTAGGCCCAGGTAAGGCCTACTGGTTAGCACGTGTGTAAGGATGTTCTACAGGTTACTTGATCATCCTTATTTCAGATTGTGGGGTATATAACTGCATCATCAGCACACAGAGATGTAGAACAGTAGTTATCAGTATCGGCTGACAAATCATTCATAAAAGATGAGAACAACAATCTACCCTACACTGAACCCTTGGGTAACAACTGCTGATGTAACAATGAGCACATCTGACATACTGTCATTACCAGATACAACATATCATTTGTCTTTGAGGAAGCCAGAAGTCCAGCTATAGGAAGTAGCATCCAATGCTATATGACCATGTAAGAAAACTAAAAGATATAAGATACGTTGTTGAAAGGCTTGCTGAAGGCTAAAAATACTATGTCAACCTGTTGAGACTTGTCAAGATCTGGTGTCCAATCGTGAAGAACATTGGTTAACTGGGTAAGAGTAGAAAACCCTTGTTAAATACCATGTTGATAATGATAGGATATTATGTCTATAAATGTGAATTGTGACAGTGAAATAACATAAATCTTTAAGAAACGAAGGGAAACCCAAGATATTTGGCAATAATTAGATTCAAGAAAAGTGCCATCACCTATATAAACATGGATAATATCAGGAGTAGATAATAGAAAATATACATGTCAGTACGCTGGCGTATATCGTGCGTTATTCGTGTGTTCGTGAGTCGTATGGCGTATGACGTATGTAGCTGGCGGAGGTATGCACTCTCCGTGAGTGCACTCTGTCTAGTTTATATATGAATGAGGGGGTCATACCACAAGTACAGAAAACCAACATGAGGTGATAACCTGGTAAACAATCTATCAGATGCACAAGATTCGCAAGAGGTGTTATCCAAGACAAAGTATGTGTTTATCTTTTCAAAAATCGGTTCTATTTTGGTTTTTTAAATTTGACAAATCTATAAATGCTTGGTAAAGCAAGTCAATCAGAGCCAATGTTATTTAGAAAATTCAAGGAAATTCTACAATTCAGTTGATAGACAACATTTCTTTGATGTTGATGTGTAAACCAGCTAACAGGTGTTAAATTATAGTGTTTGGCCTTTTGGAGCATGCAATCTCATTTCCTCATAGGTTTTCTTAAGAGTGTTGACAATTAAGGAACTGAAATCTTATTGAGAGTAGTCTTACAAGAGACAGAAATTTATAGTTATTGACCTAATTTATTAGGAGAATTGAAGTTGATTATTGGGATTTTCTGAAGATTTAAAGAACAAAAAGCAGGACAATGAACGACAGTCGAGACAAATCATCAATGTCAAGAATAACTATCATATGTGTTCAGAAGTCTCAATGTGAACAAATTTGTACTCGATTTGTATTATTGATTTATAGCAAAAACTGTAAGCCAGAGCAATGGTAACGAAAGCAAGTAGTGCATGCATTTACAGATTTTAACAGATTGCTCTCTCATTGGAGTGACACGGTTGCAACAAGAACCACAAGCGAGTTTAGTTTAGATTAACGTTACCACTTAGGATTAGTGAGGAGAAAAAAAGCCACAATTCATGTCTTTGAGACGATGTTTTTTGCTCCACAGGTGACTTGATGAGGATAGATAATTTTGTGTAGAAGTAGAGACATGTATATAATGAGAGTCAATACTATCATATGATTGTAATTACTCAGTAATAGTAGTAGTAGTAGTAGTAGTAGTAGTAGTAGTAGTAGTAGTAGTAGTAGTATGTGGTGTTTCACAGATGCTACGTTGGTTACTTCTGGAGTAGCTAGACGTAATTCATCAAATGCTTTGTAAAATTGCAATATAGTAAAGTGAATTTCCTCAGGACAATTGACACTCGATGGCAACACTGATAAGACGTTGTCTGTGCGTGTTGACTAGATAGCATTAAATATGCATGCAATCATTCTTAACACACTACAGGTGGTACCATGGCCGGCTGGATAGGAGTACAGCAGAGGAGAGGCTACTTGCTACTGGATCAATCAGCACCTATCTAATCAGGGAAAGTGACAGAAAGCCAGGCTCATATGTTCTGTCCTATCTCGGTATTACTGGCATCAACCACTTCAGGTAAATGAATCGCATGATTTTACAGGTACAAGAATGTAAACAAGAATTCTGGTCAAACATGCATCGTGTAATAAATCCAATTAAACATTTAAAACCAAGTTTTACATAATCGATTTTTTTATTTTAATTTGAGTACAATGTACATGTACTGTACCAAGTGTTTATAAAAGAACTTTTGAATTGACCTTATCAAAATTTCATTAATACATTTTTTTTAAATTGAGCTTATAAAAATTAGAGTGATTCGGAAGGTTTAGATTGAATTCCTAATGTTAAATTGACAACGTCACGAATTTTCTATGGTGTATATTTGTAAAATTTTTGTTGCTATTATTTTACATTAAAAGTAAGTACTAATGGGACTAAATGTATCGTCTAGTTCTTGCCTGATAAGATTGTTTCTCAACTAGTTAAAAATCCAAAAAATCTGGACGAATTGATATTATGATCCTGACATTAATTGCTTGCTATGGGTTATGTATAAGTCACGAGTGTATGTTTACATCGAACAATATAGTAAAATTCGAAGAATAATGCAGCAATTTAACCATAAAAAATGAACAGAATTACTTGCATTTCGTGAAAAAGTGGAAATATTTTTTTTACTTTACTATTTACGGTGACGTAATCACTTTAAAGTTAAAACTGAACATCTTATGCTTGATGTTAAATTTATACAGGATAACATCAATGTGCGGTGTGTACTACATCGGCGGACGACAGTTTGACTCTCTGTCAGACCTGATAGGCTATTATACTAGTTGCTCAGACCTGCTTCGTGGAGAGAGATTGAAGCTACCCGTTGCTCCTCCTCTGGTATGTGACATGCAGACTCCTCATCAATCTACAGTTCATAATTATTAATTACAAGTCTCATATATATATAACCCACAATCGGGGTTTCTTCTGAGGGAAAATTGGACAAAGGAGGTAATGCTCCGTTTTGGGGGAAAACGCGCATGATGGATTCAAATACAGGATGTATTGATATACTTATAGGTACATAGATACAGGATATACTTATCAGTAAATACAGGAACACTTTCACAACGGCGATGTTAAATTTGACAACAGCGGTGCGCCACTGTGCCTCTTATGTATAAGAAACATTGGCAACGAATGTAGGTCCTGATGCTATGTATAAAATTTGCCATTAAAAATAACAGCTCCAGTGTGGCTGTGAACCGGTACTATGACAGTACGAGTCCCTCTAAGTGGAATCAGTGAAAATAAGATGGAAATTACATTACCAAAAAATTTACCACCTAATCATATTGTTTTACTTGCAGCCAGTTGAGAGTAAAAGAAAGATAATAGCCATCTTGCCCTACACTAGAATTCCTGACACCGATGAGCTGAGGTATGACTACATTTGTGTAGAATTTGTGCAGTGTTGTTGCTCATCTTAAGTAATCTACTTCACCAATTGCACTTGAGCTGTCCAGACTTCCGAGTGTTAGCAGCTATGTCACAAGTATATATGGATTTGTCTATGTAAAAGAAACTAATGCACAATGAGCATTGATATTGGCAATTTCTAAACAAGAGCATGATTTTTTTTTCCATTCATTAAAGTCAGTTCACGACGCACACGACATGAAATTTAGTTTTGTAAACAAACGGAATTTTCTTTTCAGTTTTCTCAAGGGTGATGTATTCGTTGTTCATAATGAGATGGGCAGCGGGTGGCTGTGGGTAACTAGGCAAAGAACTCATGAGAGCGGACTAGTCTTTGAGGAGCTGTTAGAGGAGTTGGTGAGTTTACATGGTTATAGTCAATGAAGGTGTTGATTATGTACATGTCCAATGAACCCTTCTCCAAAACCCTTTTGGCCAGGTGTGTTACAGAATTAAAAAATATTCCGATTTTAAAACGGTCATTTGACACACGTGCAACCAAATGGGGTCTGTCGGAGCACCTCATAAGAAAACACCTTGTCATTTCTGCAGCATACCTTATGAATATTCACAGACAATAGTAAAAAGAAACGTCACAATTGACACACGTGCTTGAGAGAAGGGTCGGGTGCGTTAAATCATGGTCGGTGGCACTCCGGTCGTGTTGTGCACAGAAGTGGCAGTTACCAAAAAACATTGGGTTTTCAAAGCTTTTCAACATTTTGGAATTGCATATAATCAATAGTGGACCTGTAATAGGTTTATTTCTCTGGTTCCATTGAATGTGCTGTGGGATAATTTGAATTCTCACTGTGTATGTATAAACAATTTGACGTATACGTGAGCATTGAATTGCATTCACAGACCAGTATGTGTTAATGCGCGCACACATGTGTGCACATGCACGTATGCATACATATAACCATGTTGTGAGCATTTGTTATAACATGCATCACCTTTGCAGGGATCAAGAACTGACCCAAATGAAGAGAAGCCATGGTTCTATAGCAACGTTACAAAGGAGGAAGCTGCAACGTTGTTAGTGACAGGTAAGTGATCATGCAAGGTTTCCTATACAAATAAGAGGCACAGTGGCGCACCGCCGTTGTCAAATTTAACATCGCCGTTGTGAAAATGTACCTGTATTTACCCTGTATGATTTTACCCTGTTTTTCCTGTATGCAGCATCTGCATGTGTGCCTATGGCATGCCTTTGAATCCATCATGCGAATTTTTCTCCCAAACTACCTCCTTTGTCTAATTTGCCCTCAGAAGAAACCCTGTCATATCACTCAAGACAGTGTCTCCCATGGTGACACACACACACACACACACACACTCATATCTCTTACCTCATTTCTAACCATTTTACCGATCCTTGTGATTGGTCACGTGGCATATAACTGTCCTGGAGAGTGGTACCAGCAGGGCACAAGTTGCTATAACATACAGGCACTCTACTAGATCATTCTCGAAGGTGGGCTTATAACTGTCATTTCCTGTGGTTAGAATACATTGATGGAATTTTTCTGTCTTTTGTTTCTGAAGCCGGAGACTGCAGTTATCTCATTCGGCCCAGCGATAATTCGCCCGGTGACTACTCACTGTTCTTCCACGTTGACCACGCTGTACAGAGGTTTCGCATTCAGAAACAATGCCATCATTATCTTATGGGCGGCCGCTTATTTGATAGGTTTGTTGCTTTCATGTTGTAGTTGGCGATGGTAGCAGTGATTGTGGTTTGGCGTTGTTGTTGTTGTTGTTGTTGTTGTTGTTGTTGTTGTTGTTGTTGTTGTGGTTGCTGCTGCTGTTGCTGTACTTGGTGTTGAAGCTATTAAGTGAATAGGCAGTTTTGTTGGAAATAATGTGTTTTGTTTGAAATGCTCGGAGAGCTTTTTCCGTGATGAGAATTCAAATTCAAAATGTCGTGCTCTAGTGTGTGCTGGTTTTTGAATCATTAGTTAAGTTAATCGGTGATTGTCCTGAAACACAGTGAGTCTGATATCTGGATTTATTGCACCTGCTACAGTTTGGAAGACATAATAGAAAGGTATGAGACTGAACAAATCGTAGATGGCTGCACCCTTCAACGACCCGTGTTAAAGGTATCTATTTTTATTTCTAGAGATCTCATTGAATTTAGGTGATTTGAAGAGTATGAAAAAAGCACGTTGCTACTAACAAGTTTTCTTAGCAAGTCCCGTGCTCTAACAAGTTCATAAGGAAGTACATGCTTAGAAATGAATGGGATGTTATGTGGGTTTCTGTTGCATTACAGAGTAGCTATGAGCCTGGTGGGAGCATACGACTTAAGAACGGCATGGAGAAAACTACTGAGGATATATACAAAACGATACGACAGACGCACACTTCTCTGCTGTTCAATAGGCATCATGTCATCTGTAAACAAGTGAGAATTCCAGAATTTCTACAATAATGCATATGTAACACTAAACGATGTCTGTCAGAGGTAGAAATTAATTTGAAAATTTACAGGCCAGTCGGGCCTGTAGGTAAGGGATTTTACAGGCAAATTATAGGCCCGCATCATTCCACAGATACCGCAGAATTTTTTTTAAATAAAATATTCAAATTTGAATTTTTTACAATGGCTTATTTACAGTAATACAAAGAACATATTCGGTGAATACTAATGAGCTGTCAGAATTGTCACTGTCCTCCCTGGTGTCCTCACTCTCGGGACTCTTTTTTTAACTGTTGGCTGGCCTGCACTACAGCAATAGAATGTGCACGTAGATTTTCTACGGGCTCGTTGGGCTTGCTAGTATAAGAAATGTCAGGCCCAAGCCTTAAAATACGAGCATCGGGCCTGCGGGCCCCTTAGGATTTCGACCTATGTCTATGCTCACAGTCAATTTCTGTGGGCTGGTCATGTCAGATTCTGTTGTTGTCTTAGGGCTTTCTGCATAAACACATGAAGAAAAGCAAGTGGAAACGATTCTTCTTTGTACTGAATGGAACTGAGCAGCACTTGTTATACTATGATAACGACAACCATAAGGTAACTGGATAATGATATAATGAAGAAATCTTAATACTGTAAATTCTTTTTTTTTCGTGGGGTACCAATTTTCGTGGATTTCGTGGGTTTATCAATCCACGAACTTACGTTCCAAACTTCCCAACGAAATATGATGTACAGATGTCACGTGCCGGTTCTACGATTTCAATCCACGAATTTAATAATCCATGAACGTGTTTATTATCGAAACCAGGAAAATTGGGATCCACGAAAATACGTGATTTTACAGTACGCTAGCAGAAGGGGTGGGCGTCATTATTACTTGCTCTAGTACAGTGCATAGTTTTGTGAGATAAATGTCATAAATATTTATACAATCACTAACCTATTCGCATGAGCGCAAAGTTCTTTGAGAACAAAGAATCGAGGATCATTTGTTTGACAGACGTCAGATATATAATGCACTAATCGAACTCGGCTAACTTGGTTGGACTCCTCTTTTTTCAGCGAACAAAACCAAAGGGGCTCATTGATCTAGCGTACTGCACGTTATATCAGGTTCACGACAGTTTCTTTGAAAAGTAAGCCGAACGATGTAAACTACTAATATTAGAAAATCGTGTGGTGTGAATTGATAGGCATGTTCGAGAGACTCGCTCATCTCATGCACGATGAAAATATACAACCGCTGGGTAACGTCATGCTTTTATGATAACATTAGCGATTAGTATAAATAGATTTGTGTATAAATGAGTAATGTCAGCAGATATGTGAAAGATGTTACACATTTAATAGCATTGCTATCGTAATTAATAAAAGAATTTCTTAATTGCTATAGTAATCGTAATTGTTTTCCTGTATGACATAAATCCACGTCTTGCGATTCTCCTAATTTAATTTGTTATTAAATTGCGCTCCCATCAAGTTATCCATACCATTTCTGTGAAGCTTGACTCTGTATTGTACTGTCTGACTTGTGCCTTAGGCCCAACTGTTTCCAACTGGTCACACGTGGTCTCAGTGCTGTGGAAGTCAACTACCTATATGCAGATTCCCCGGAAGATGCACAGGTATGTTAAGAAAATCACCGGGAGTATGTTGGAGTAAGGGACTGGAACGTGAGAACTGAAAATGGATGTAAATCAAAGACGATTACCTTCTTGTGGCGGTACGGGGTTGTGCGGTCGTGACTCGTCCGCTCGCATCTTTCAGGAGTGGATGCGTAAAATCAAGCCGCTGTGCTACCAGGCCGTGCAGCCCAGCAGCTTGCAGAATCGAGTCAAGGAGTTGAAGAGCCTACACATCAACATTCTCGATGCTAAAAGGTTGTAATTCGCAAGCATCGCAATCTTTTTACATTTACAAACTGTTTACCAATCCATTGATCTGACATCATGTGCAGCTATAGTAAATTGTAATTATATTTGTTATATTATATTGTACTGTATTGTATATTTATCATAGTACTGTAATACGCTGCGTAGAATGTTATTAGTAGCATATACGAGGTGTGGACTCACTAGTGTAATAGTAATGGCAGTAAGGTTGTCACACCCCTCGTTTTCTCGTGTCTTCATGCAGAATACCTGTGAAGCTGGCCCCTCAGGCATTCTGCGTTGTGTCGCTGAATGATGTCAAGGTAGCGCGCAGTAGAACACAGAGCACACCGGACCCTGTGTGGGAGGAAGAGTTCCTACTCGAGTATGTATATATATATCTATCTATCTATGCAGGGGTAGAAATGAACTTTTGAACACTCTGCCCGCAAAAAGAAGGAGTCCGCAGCAAAATGAGGGAGTCCGCAGTCTGAAGTTCAAAACTAAAGATATTAACAATAACGCGTGTGCTTATTTTGAATATTCATGCGGTTGCACGCCTGCCAAATTGTCTTTGGACATTTGCTGAAAAAATATGGCAATTCCGCGAGGCCATGCTCTAGAATGAAGTAGTTAGTATAGCAGAATTTTCAGGGAGTCACACGGACTCCTGCATATGTCAAATCAGGGAGTCCGACAGAAAATCAGGGAGTATTTGACTCCAAACTCGGGTTAATTTCGTACCCTGTCTATGTGTCTATCCCACACGCATGCAGATGTATACGTTCCTTATCTGTTCCTCCATCTCGTCCACAATATTTTTTCACTGCAACAACATTTTCGTAGCTAACAATATGTTCGAACATTAAATTCGTTATTTCATGGTCAGTGTCAGAGTTAGTATATTGTATGTGTATTAAGTTAAACCTGTGTTAGTTTCCACCATTACAGAACACGCTCACGTTTATGAAATAAACTTCATAATTCACTTTTCTTGAGTGGCAGTTAAACTGGGGTACCACCTCAATAAAATCAACACCTGCCCATAAAGAACACATTTTGTGTGACTGTATAGTGACCCCTTCATATAGGTTTTATTGTATATATGTGATAAAGTGTAAAGCCTGTCTGACATCTTAACATAATGTCTTCACTAAAAGGTACCATCTAAAATGATGCCTGTCAGTTTTACCATCACTTTACCGTTCAAAATAAGTTTAGTTTCGTTTTTTTTAATGGCCGTTCGTCACGAGAGATTCGTGAGAATTGACCACCTGAAGATTTCCGATCACCACGTATTGTTAAACAAATTAACGTTGTTGGGTTTTGCAGTGAAATTCCCGCCGATATAACGTCCTACACTGTAACAGTGTTCAGTCGAGGAAAACGAGCGAAGGACACCGCTATAGGTAAGAGCTCTGCCTCATCCACCAAATCCGGAGTTCTCCAGCGTATCAGGAGTTTTCCGCCTTATCCAGAGTTATCCGGACTCCTAGGCTATATCCGAAGTTCTCCCCCTTATCCGGACTCCTCGGCCCCATCCGGACTCCTGGTCCTCATCCAGAATCCCCGGCCCCATCTGGCCCCATCCGGAGTCCTCGGCCCCATCCGGACTCCTGGTCCTCATCCAGACTCCCCGGCCCCATCCGGCCCTATCCGGAGTCCTCGGCCCCATCCGGACTCCTGGTCCTCATCCAGACTCCCCGGCCCCATCCGGCCCTATCCGGAGTCCTCGGCCCCATCCGG